GTATTTGGTGGGGTTGCTCTCTCCCCTATTCAATCTACTCCTGCTGCTGCTGCAGCAGCAGCAGCAGGAGCAGCAGCAGCAGATGCTCCTGCTGCTAGCTGCCGATACACCTCAGCTACTACACATAAGGAGCTGTCCTTGAGGTACAGAGATAGGAGGAGGAGGAAAGGTGCGAGGCGCTGCAGCAGCGTAGATACAGCCTGCATGCAGCAGCAGCAGCAGCAACAACACAAGCAGAAGAAGAAGAAGCCACAGAAGCGGCAGCAGCACAAGAAGCAGGACGAGGAACACGAACAGCAGGAAGAACAACAGGAGCAGCAAGAGCAGCAGCAGCAAGAGCAGCAGGAGCAGCAGCATGCAGAGTTTGCTGCAGATAGAGAGGAGACACTGCAGCAGCTAAGACGAGCTCGTGCTGCAGTAGACAGTGGCGGTGCTGCGCTGCAGCATCAGCTGCGTCAGCAACGTCGTCAGCGTAAGCTGCAGCAGCAGCAGCGTCTGCAGCAGTACGTAAGACAGAAGCAGCAGCAGCAGCTGCTGCTGCTGCAGCCGCTGCTGCTTAGTGATGTATGGGTATACGGCATAGAGGAAGACAGGTGGCTTAATTTGCTGCCAGGGCTGCAGCAGCAGCTATCTGGTGGTCCTGCTGTCCCTGCTGCAGCATCAGCAGCACCAGCAGCAGCTGCTGCTGCAGCAGGAGCGGCAGCAGCAGCAGCTGCAGCAGCAGCTGCAGCACCTGCTCCAGCGCCCGATTCAGCAGCAGCACCGTCACCAGGAGCAGCAGCAAGGGCTGGGGGGGCTGGGTCAGCTCCCCCTGCTTCTGCTGCTGCTGCTGCTGCCGTAAGTGCTGCTGCTGCTGCTGCTGCTAGTGCTGCTGCTGCTGCAGACAGCAGCACGGGGCCCTGCCCACGTAGCTGCATGTCTCTTACGTTATTCAGACCACCATCAGAGGGTCTTGTTCTTGTCCTCTATGGAGGCATAGATGCACAAGGAAGAGTGTAAGCAGCAGCAGCAGCAGCAGCAGCAACAGCAGCAGCAGCAAGACAGGCAGACACAGAAGAAAGAGCAGCAGCAAGTGCAGCAACGTAGATATGCTCAGAAGCATCTATGCATGCACTATAGCTACAAATACAGCAAAAAAAAGCCCATTGCTGCTGTTCTTGCTGCTGCTGCTGCTGTTGCTGCTGCTGCTGCTGCAGGTTATCAGATTGTTGGTACTTTGATTTGCTGCTGCTGCAGTGGCGGCAACGTAAGGAGCCATGGTTGCTGCCTCCTTCCTTCTGGATGACGGATGGGCCCCAGGTAACAGCACCAGGGCATGCGCTGCACTCTGCTTCCTTATGGTATAATAGCAGCAGCAGCAGCAGCAGCAGCAGCAGCGGCAGTAGCAGCAGCAGTATTAGTAGTAATAGTAATAGTAACAATAAACCTAAACCTGCTGCAGTTGAACCTATAGATGACCCACAACTGCAGCAGCAGCAGCAGCAGCAGCAGCAGCAGCAATTTACTCGTGATGCTGTTAAGACTAGATTTGCTGCTGCAGCAAAAGATATACCTATAGGTGGATCTATAGTTATATTTGGTGGTATTCGTAGCAGCAGCAGCAGCAGCAGCAGCAGCAGCAGCAAGAGTACCATCAGCAGCACCAACAGCAGCAGCAGCAGCAGCAGCAGCAGCAGCAGCAGCAAGATATATTTAAGTAATGATGTATTTACTTTTTATCCAGAGGAAAGAGTTTGGTGTCTTCTCTCTACTAAGGGACACCCACCTGAACCACGCATAAGGTAACTCCTGCTGCTGCTGCTGCTGCTGCTGCTGTTGCTGCTACTGATGTTGCTCCTGATGCTGACGTTGTTGCTGGTGCTGGTGCTCCTGTTGCTGTTGCTGCTGCTGTTGTTGTTGTATCTGTTGCTGTAACAGCACAACAGCGCTCTTCATACGTTTGCGTTTACTGCGCTTGCTGCTGTTGCTGCTGTTGCTGCTGTTGCTGTTGCTGCTGTTGCTGTTGCTGCTGCTGTTGCTGCTGTTGCTGCTGCTGCTGCAGGCATTCTGCAGGTATATTTAGGGATTCTTTGTTTGTTTATGGTGGCCGCAACGCTAGAGGAGATGCCTGCGCAGGTACGACCTGCTGCTGCTGCTGCTGCTTACCTTTGCTGCTGCTGCTGCTGCTGCTGCTGCAGATTTGGGTGTATTGAGATGTCAGTTGATCCTGGGGCATAAAATGACAATAAATCCTCTATATCTGTTGCTGCTGCTTCTGCTTCTGTTGCTGCTGTTGCTGCTGCTGCTGCTGCTGCTGCTGCTGGTGCTGCTGCTGCTGCTGCTGCAGATTGTGTATACGAGCTGCAGCTGATAACAATGAGTTGGTCATTTGCCTCGACGTCTTCTGTTGGCCCTGATGCCTTCGAGGCATCAGCATATACTGTTGCCTTAGTAGGCTCCTGCTGCTGCTGCTGCTGCTGCTGCTGCTGCTGTTGCTGTTGCTGCTGCTGCTGCTGTTGCGTTTCAGGTGCTGTTGTAGGTAGTTGTTATTTCTTATCGTGCTGCTGCTGTTGCTGCTGCTGCTTTTGCTGCTGCTTCTCCTCCACTGTTTCTACCATCCCCTCTCTTGCTATTCATTGCCCTCCTCTCCCTCCTGCGTGTGCTGCTATTCCTACTGCTGCTGCTGCTGCTGCTGCTGCTGCTGCTGCTGCAGGGTAGTCTTGTTATACTAGGAGGACGTAGCATAGATGGTGACTTATGTGATTCTGTCTTTTGTTTCCCTCTTGGTAAAACAGATACACATAGAAAAAAACCTCATGTACCTCTACTTAATAAATAAATTATTTGCTGCTCCTCCTCCTCCTCCTCCTCCTGCTGCTCCTGCTGCTGCTCCTGCTGCTGCTGCTCCTGCTGCTGCTACTGGTGTTATAGTTGCAGCAGCAGCAGCAACACCAGCAGAAACAGCAATTTATTTAGTTTTCTTACTGCTGTTCATGCAGCTGCCCCCTGCTGCACCTTCTCTTGCGCAAGGTAGCTGCAGCTATAGTTCCTTTATTTGCTGCATTAGCAGCAGCAGCAGCAACAGCAGCAGCAGCAGCAGCAGCAGCAGCTGCTGCTGCTGCTGTAGCTTTTTGCAGCAGTGTGAACCTTGGGAAGAGTTGCTGATGGCAGGAGACACTGTCTCCTTTCCTTCTAAGGTCTTACCTAACCAACAAACTACCCCGTCACTCGCTAGCTAGCTAGCTAGCTAGTTAGTTAGCTAGCTAGCTAGCTGCCTCCTTCGTTCCTTAGCTAGTTAGTTAGTTACTTAGCTAGCTAGCTCGATGCAAAGGTATATAGTCTTGTATCTAGTCATCTAGCTAGCTGTCTTGGTGGGTAGGTAGGCAACTAGCTAGCTAGCTAGCTAGTTAGCTAGCTAGCCAGCTACCTAGTTAGCTAGCTAGCTAGCTGGCTAGCTAGGTATATAGATAATAAATAATGTATTATAATTAGATATAAAGGAGAGAATTAATAAATAATATAAAATAAAATAAAATATAGATAGGAGGTGCCTATACACCTGAATACTCCATAAAAAGAGACACAAAGATATACAAAAAAGAGTAAACAAGATTAATTATGCACACTCCTATAGCTAGCTAATTAATACTATTATTATTATTTATTAATTAGCTAGCTAGCCAGCTAGCTAGCTAGCTAGCTAGATGGACAGCTAGGTAGCTAGCTGTATAGCTAGCTAGGTAGCCCAGGTAGCTAGTCATATTGCTAGCTGGCTAGCTAGCTAGCTAGCTAGCTACTCTAGCTAGCTAGCTACTCTAGCTAGCTAGCTAGCTAGGTCGCTGCGCTAGAGGTTGGGGGTTACTGCAGCATATTGTTCCATCTAAGTGGATCAGCAGCAAGTCCCAACTTTGCTGCAGCACCTCCAGTTTGCTGCTGCTGCTGCTGCTGTTTCTGCTGCTGCTGCTGCTGCTGCTGCTGCTGTTGTTGTGCTGCTGCATAAAGAGAAAAAGAACAAGGGGATGTATAAGAAGAAGGTTGTCCCCTTCTTAGGGCCCCCGAGTCCGAGGCCCTTCGCTGCATTTGCTGCTGCTGCAGCGGCGGCTCAGCAGCAGGCCAAAAACACTGCTGCTGCTGCTGCTGCTGTTGCTGCTGCTGCTGCTGCTGCTGCTGCGGGAAGTCCCCAGATAACCTAGAGCCTAAGGAGGCCCAAGCAGAGGCAGTTGTAGACATTGAGCTTACTGTTGCTGTCCCTAAATTTGCTGCTGCTGCTGCTGTTGTTGCTGCTGCTGCTGCTGTTGCTGTTGTTGTACCAGTACTAATAGATGCAACAGCAGGATCAGCAGCAAATGCAGCAGCAGCAGCAGCAGCAGCAGCAGCATTACCTTCTTGCTGCAGTGACCAATGATGGAGACCTTCGCTATGACGAGGATGCATTTGTTTATTAAAAGGAGACAATCCAGCAGCAAAGGAGACACCATAATTTGCTGCTGCTGCTGCTGCTGTTGTTGTTGTTGCTGCTGCTGCTGCTGTTGAGGTTCTGACTCCTGTTGAACTCAAAGTGGTGCTTCTGCTGCTGCTGCTGCTGCTCCTGCATTTGCTGCTGCTGCTGCTACAAGGAATGCTGCTGCCTACTGGGAAGGAGCTAAGACCGCTGCTGCTGCAGTTGTTGCAGTTGCTGCTTGCTGCTGCAGCACGTGGTGACGCTGCAGCTGATGGTAGCCGTCTTACACCACCACCACCTGCTGCTGCTGCTGCTGCTGCAGCACCGCTGCCACCACCAAGAGCAAAACGATTTGCTGCTGCAGTTTCTGCTCTTGCTGCTGTTGCTGCAGAGCGAGGTGTATGTACACCAGGAGACATAGCTGAGCTGTGTCTCCTTTTATCTAATGTTTGCTGCTGCAGCAAGCTAGCAGCAGAGGGGATACCTCCTGCTGGTGCTGCTGCTGTTGCTGCTGCTGTTGCTGCTGCTGAAGAGACACTGCCTCTCCTAGGCAGCGAAGCTCGCGGTGTCCCTAAGGAGGGACAACTAGTCGGGTACTGTGCTGCTGCTGCAGCAGCAGCAGCAAAGTCAGCAGCAGCAAACTGGTTGCTGCGGCGGGAAACCCCAGAGAAAGGGGAAGAATCCCTTGTTGCTGCTGTTGCTGCTGCAGTTGCTGCTGCTGCTGCAGGAGATGCAGCAGCACCACTTAGCGTTCCCTTAGCTCTAGAGGTGTGGGGGGAGAAGCTACTACGACTTGCTGCTGCTGCTGCTGCTGCTGTTGCTGCTGCTGCTGCTGTTGCTGCAGCAGCAACTTGAGCAGCCCTACAGGTTGTTGGGTACTGAGCAGGGCCCCAGCTGCAGCAACTGCCGTTGCTGTTGTTGCTGCTGCTGCTGCGTCTTTCTGTGCTGCTGTGGCCTACAGGCGACCTACTATATAGCCCTCTATCTGCATTCTGCTGCTGCTGCTGCTGCTGCTGCTGTTGCTGCTGCTGGTGGCGACGCAGGTGCCGCTGCATGCTGCTGGGGGCCGGAAAATTATCTGCTGCTGCTGCTGCACCTGGTGCTGCTGCAGCAAATGCAGCACGTGGAGAGGCGGAGACAGCAGCAGCAGCAGCAGCAGGGGATAGAGGCGCTCTTGTGCGGCCCTCATCAGGAAGCCTGCAGAAGGGCCTCTGCTGCTGCTGCTGTTGCTGCTGTTGCTGTTGCTGTTGCTGTTGCTGCAGTAGCAACTGCTGCTGCAACAATTGTTGCTGCTGTTGCTGCAGTTGCTGCTGCAGTTGCTGCTGCAGAGGCAGCTGATTAGATGTAAATACAGGGGATGTCTTTGCCTGTCTCTCTTGCTCAGCAGCAGCTTTCTGCCGCTGCAGCTGCAGCAGCAGCTGCTGCTGCTGCAGTCTTAATTCTTGCTGCTGCTTTTGCAGCAGTAGCTGTTGCTGCTTAAATTGTTGCTGCTGTTGTTCGTGCTGCAGTTCCAATTGCTTCTGCTGCTGCTGCCGCTGCTGCTGCTGCTGCTGCTGCTGCATCAGCAGCAACTCGTGCTGCCTTTGGCTGTATGTATCGCAAGTTAAGAACGAGTGCCGCGGCGACGTTGCTGCTGCTGCTGCAGTTGCTGCTGCTGCTGCAGTTGCTACAGCTGCTGCAGTTGTTGCTGCCGCTGTTTTTGCTGCTGCTGTTGGTGTGCCTATATGCCCTTCTGTGCATCCCCTGCCTCGCATGCAAAATGCAGAGCTGCTGCTATCTGCTCCATAGAGGTCATGCTTATGCTGCTGCTGCTGCTGCTTTTGCTGCTGCTGCTGCTTTTGCTGCTGCTGCTGCTTTTGCTGCTGCTGCAGCTGTTTCTGCTGCTGCTGCAGAGGGAAAGGGAATGGTGGGGTTTGTGTTTGCCGCTGCGTGGGGTTTGCGGAAACAGTTTGAGGAAAGATAGACCCTTGACGCTGCTGCTGCTGCTGCTGCTGCTGCTGCTGTTGCTGTTGCTGTTGCTGCTGCTGGTGGTGTTGGATTAAGAGCTGCTGCTGTTGTTGTTGCTGTTGGTGGAGTTTCTGTTGCTGCATATGTTGCTGCTGCTGCTGCTGCTGCTGCTGCAGCAGATGGTTGCTGCTGCAGTCTAGATATTGTGTTGTTTGTGGGTCTTCGTTCTCTTCTTCTTGTATAGTAGATAAAGGTGCATGCAAATCTATTTGTCTATCTATATCCTTATAAAATAATTTGCTGCTGCTGCTGCTGCTGCTGTTGCTGCTGCTGCTGTTGCTGTTGCTGTTGTTGTTGCTCCTATTATTATTATTATTATTATCCTCTTCCTCTTCCTCTTCCTCTTCCTCCTCTTGTTCCTCAGCAAAGGGACGAAGAATTGAATACCCCATACACTCCAATGCAGAGGGACGACGGTTAGGGTCTTGCTGCAGCAAGGCAGCAAGGAGACTATTAAATCCACGGGAGAAACTGCAGCAGCAGCAGCAGCAGCAGCAACAGCAGCAACAGCAACAGATGAAGGAACAATAGTAATAATATAATAAACAGCAACAACAACAGCAACAACAACAGCAGCAGCAACAACAACAGCAACAACAACAGCAACAACAACAGCAGCAGCAACAACAACAGCAACATAAATATAATCAGTAAAAAAACAGCAACAACAGCAACAGCAACAACAGCAGCAACAGCAGCAACAGCAGCAACAACAAGAACAACAACAGCAAGAAGAAGAAGAATATTACCCAGGTATAGGTAATTTAGGTCCTTGTAATACATGTTGTGTTAATTGTTGTATATGTTGTGCATGAGCAAATGGTGTTTTTCCTGTTGCTAATTCATAAAGGAGACAACCTAATGACCATATATCTGTCTTATAATTATAATATAAATAATTATCTCCTCCTCTTAGTAACAATAATAGCTCAGGAGACCAATAGTGTGGTGTACCTACACATGAATATGCTACACTTCTTATTGATGATAAATCACGAGATAAACCAAAATCTCCTAACTTTATTAATATATTATTATTTATTTTTTTTTTTTTTTTTTTTTTTTTTTTTTTA